ATCTTGCTCCAGGACCTGAAGGGCATGGAGTCTAAAGACAGAATGGGTGGACCAAAGCCGAGGGGAGAGGTGCTCTGGGGTCAAAGTGCACACTGCCCACGGCCAGCCAGGCACTGTGGGGGATCCATACTGCAGTCCAGGAACGAGACGAAAGGGCTTGTTGGGGAGGCTGTTCGTGGCTTTGGAGTGGGACACAGGTATATCTCAGCTCCAGTTCAGCCATTGCCAAAGTACTGAACTGAATGTCCCCATGCCTCAGTTTCCTCATTGCCAAACAAAGATGGTATCCACCTCATCAGGTTACTGTCACAACACACGAAGCCTTTAATACAGAGCCTGTTTCAAAGCAGGCTCTCAGTCAGTGTTAGTGAATAAAAATATGAAAGTTCGCACACTGATCGTAATCCTAGACTGTGAGCTTGATTCTGGGGAGTCTGCCTGGGAGGAGGCTTCACTCACCTCCCTGACAAGATCTGGATGCTAAGTCTACAGAACGCTGGACTGCAACCAGGACCCCCAAGTTAAGCGCCCACCCCACACCCTCTCTATGCTACTCACACCTGCCCCCGAGCCCCTCCCCAACTGGAATTTTCCATACCCGAGTACATTTCCGCATCTTTGAACAATCTCTGGACTTACGGTTTGGAAAACAGCCAGATGCACTGACACATTTTAAATATTTCCCAACTCAGTTTTTCTACTACCAAGAAAGTCCTTCCAAAACAAAGTAGTGGCCGGGCGCGGTGGCTCAAGCCTGTAATCCCAGCACTTTGGGAGGCTGAGGCGGGTGGATCACGAGGTCGAGAGATCGAGACCATCCTGGTCAACATGGTGAAACCCCGTCTCTACTAAAAGTGCAAAAAATTAGCTGGGCATGGTGGCACGTGCCTGTAATCCCAGCTACTCAGGAGGCTGAGGCAGGAGAATTGCCTGAACCCAGGAGGCGGAGGTTGCGGTGAGCCGAGATCGCGCCATTGCACTCCAGCCTGGGTAACAAGAGTGAAACTCCGTCTCAAAACAAAAACAAAAACAAAAACAAAAACAAAAAACAAAGTAGTGAAAAGGCCAAGTACCTAGACAACTGTGAAAGGAATGCCTTTGTTAGGATCATAAATATATTTCCAAATATTTGGATAGATGTTCTATTCGGACTAAAAGTCTTGCAGCAGAAAAGGATAATCAGCCCCTTCAATAATCAGTGTTCTGTTTTTACTTCTTCGATAAGATAGAACACCCGGGTGGGCCGGGTGTGGTGACTCACGCCTGTAATCCAAGCACTTTGGAGGCCAAGGCAGGTGGATCACCTGAGGTTGGGAGTTCAAGACCAGCCTGACCAACACGGTGAAACCCCATCTTTAAATATATATACAAAGAAAAAAATAAAAATAATTAAAAGTAAAAAAATTTTTTTTAAAAAAGAACACCCTTAGAGGCTAAGAGAAGATTCTGTGTCTTTATCAAAATTGTCAATATGCAATCAGTTATTGACTGACTTTAGGCTCCTTTTGTATAATGCAAGGATGTGCATTCAAACAATAAATGCATAACATTTTGCCCAAAATAAAGTTATCTTGGATAAAAGTTTTATAAATGATACACTAATTTATTCACCAATTGATGAGCAGGGATTTCATCTGTTTTCCTCCATCTGGTTGACAAATACCTGTTCCCACCTTCTGATGTCAACTAGCAATATCCTGACTCAGCATAGCCAGGGGACCTCAGGGGCAGTGACCCCATATCAAGAAGCTTGTCTTTTATCACCACCTAGTGGCCATTCTCTTTTTCTTGAGACGGAGTTTCGCTCTTGTTACCCAGGCTGGAGTGCAATGGCGCGATCTCTGCTCACGGCAACCTCCGCCTCCTGGGTTCAGGCAATTCTCCTGCCTCAGCCTCCTGAGTAGCTGGGATTACAGGCACGCGCCACCATGCCCAGCTAATTTTTTGTATTTTTTAGTAGAGACGGGGTTTCACCATGTTGACCAGGACGGTCTCGATCTCTTGACCTCGTGATCCACCCGCCTCGGCCTCCCAAAGTGCTGGGATTACAGGCTTGAGCCACCGCACTCGGCCTATCATTCTCTATTATTACAATGTACTAGGCCACTACACACCCATTTGCTCTGCTTGCAAAGGTATGACAGTTAAAGGAGGTGGGGATTTTTGTTTTGTTTTTTTTTTTCTTTTTGAAAAAGGGTCTTGCTCTGTTACTCAGGCTGGAGTGCAGTGGCATGATCAATGGGCTGGGTTGGACTGCTGGGCTCAAGCAATCCTCCCACTTCTGCCTCCCGAGTAGCTGGAACTACAGGCACATGCCACCATGCCAGGCTAATTTTTGTATTTTTTGTAGAGATGGGGTCTTGGTATGTTGCCCGGGTTGGTCTTGAACTCCTGGTTCCCACCTCAGCCTTCCAAAGTGCTGGGATTACAGGCATGAGTCACCACACCTGGCCCAGGTAACTGCGTTTTGAAAGAAAACATTTGTAGACTGGGCATGGTGGCTCATGTCTATAATCCCACTACTTTGGGAGGCTGAGGTGGGCTGATCGCCTGAGGTCAGGAGTTTGAGAGCAGCCTGGCCAACATAGCGAAACCCCCTCTACTAAAAATACAAAAATTAGCCGAGCACAGTAGCACACACCTATAATCCCAGCTATTCAGGTGGCTGAGGCAGGAGAATCACTTGAACCTGGGAGGCAGAGGTTGCAGTGAGAGCACCACTGCACTCCCACCTGGGTGACAGAGCAAGATCCTGACTCCAAAAAAAGAAAAAAAAAATCGTAAATATTTTTCAAGAATATTTTCAGGCAATACAGTTCATTCTCTTCCTGTACCTTTCACATGACATTGAGGAAACTAAGAACTCAAAAAGACAACCACAAACCAAAGAAAGATTTCAGTCCAAAGAAACAAGAGGGATCCTGGGAGGGGAGGGAAGGGAAAGGAGAGTGTATTGTTCAGTGGCTGGAAAAAAAATACACTCAAATTTTTGCGTATTTGCTTTTCTAATTAAAAAAAGAAAAGGAAGTAGTTTTGCGTGTTCAGGCCCCCCTTATACTACTAAACCAAGCTCTTCAAACTGCAGATCATCATGCAATTATTCCATTTCTCTGGTCTCTTCTGTATTTTCCCAAAATGATTTTTGCTTGTTCACTTGGGGTTTTCTTTTGAGTTACTCTTTTTTACAGATTCACAATGTTGCTTAGTTTCTAGAAGCTTCCCATATTGAAAAGCATTCAGACTTTTTTAACCGTACAGTCCATATTTGAGATTCTCCTCACTGTGCCATTGGATTACTAACCATGAAGGTTGGAGAGACAGCGGAAGCCAAAGCTAGAAGAGAATTGATAGCATTCATAGAGTACTCTTGATCTAAGTGATTTTTGCATTTCAATGATACTTTAAAGAATATGAAACAAGAGCAAATAAAAATATTATCCTAAGGTGTTAATATATCTGACTACAGGAAAACAATGTAAGAAAAAATTAATTCAACTTAAATAAGTGGTCTGGATTTTTATCTTTGCTTATTGTCAGCATAGATATTTATTTTCACTTTTAAAACATGAGAAATAGTAAGGTGGGTGGATCTCTTGAGGACAGGAGTTCCAGACCAGCCAGGCCAATATGGTAAAACCTCGTCTCTCCTAAATATACGAAAATTAGCTGGGAGTGATGGCATGTGCCTGTAATCATTGCTACTCAGGAGGGTGAGGCAGGACAATCACTGGAACCTGGGAGGCGGAGGTTGCAGTGAGCTGAGATCGTGCCACTGCACTCCAGCCTGGGCAACAGAGCAATACTCCATTTCAAAAAAAGAGACAGAGAGAGAGAAATAGGAGAAAAATTGGCACCTAGCTAAATGTTTCTCCATCTTACTCTATCATGAAAGAGAGAAAAGTCAGCCCTGAGCAACAAGAAGGTTAAGGCCTATTTGTGTAGGAGGTTGTTGTAAAAATTATGCCAGTTTTTTAGATAGGACATAATTTAATGCAATGAAATTTAAAGTAGAAATAAATTTTCAATTATATAAATTTCCATTTTACTATGGCCTTTTACCTTATCTTAAGCAAAGGGAGAAATGTTTTTAACGTTCTATCATCTTCAATGATAGAAAACAAAATAACCTAATTCTATTCAAAATGCCTCTTTTTTGCTACTAGGGTAACAAGAAAAGAGCCGATTCCCAGAGTTCATGACAGCCACGAGACTTCTGCGACTGTAGAATGCATTCTGAAATGACATCAACAGACTCGGCTGCACAATTAAGAGGTGGACTCGAGGGGAAAGTTTATGCCACTCCAAGTTGAATTGCCGTAATTAACATGAAACGGGAAAACAGCACAGCAAGGAGACAGCCCTTCTGATGATACAGAAGCAATGTTTGCTACAAAAACACAAGGACTCACACATAGGCAAGGAGTTAGCAGGGTGGGGGTTTTATCAACAAAATCTTACAAGGAAAAAAAATATCTACAGTAAACGGAGGCGGGGCAGGTGACCAGAGAAATGCTATCAAGCTTACCTGGTGTACAAGTCATTGGCACTGAATCAGCTGCAGGTGAACACACACTCCTGGCCAACAGGAAGGAAAATTACAGGAGCCGGCTCCGCAGCCATGGCTACAAATCAATCAACAGCAGGAGAAACAGAAGCAGCCACTCCCTTCAGCTCGGAAATATGTAAAGGGCATTGGGTTGTTAATTTCTGTTCTTACCATCATCCCTCCTTGCCATCATCCCCACACAAGTGGATGATAGAGTTACAGTGAGATAAGGCTTCAAAGATGATGTGCACAGCATGTAATAAAAAATACAATGTAACGAGGCAATCAATGCAATTTGAAAACATGGACCAAATAATCAGTGCAATAAAAGGCATACATCCCAACGCAGACAGAAAAGTGTTGCTGTAGACTTAGACTTAGCAATAGACAGGCGGAGTTCAGGCATATGCAGCCAGAGACTATAAATAATGAAATGATGCACCTAGGAACAAGATACTTTTCTATTAATCTTTATTTATATGACGGTTCTCTGGAAAGCACTTCATTTTCAAACCTATTTCTGAGATAAGTAGCATGAGGCACATTTGAAGAAATACTATTGTTGCATCACAAAGAGAACCTCCATGTGATGTGAAATCATTTTTTTCAGAGTATTATTAATAAGATGGTCTAGCCATGCAGAGCAAAAAAGAAAAAAAAAATCTTCACAAGCCAAGAATGTCGAAGGTATGCATAAACTGTCTTCACATTTAATTTCATAGGATTCAGGAGATACATCCATGTACATCTAACCAGGTCAGGTAGTACAAGTCCTCAGGGAACCCCAGGTGTGCTAACTTCAAGCCAAAGTACTCTGTTGAGTTTGGTTTGTGGAGAGACATTTGAAATGTTGCTTCATAGCTTCCATTTTCTAAAAGAAAAGGCAAATATTAGGGCAAGACTGTTAAAGGAAGACACCAAATGTTTACCACAATATCACTTAACGTACAATAAAGGAAAGTGTTGCCTTTTATTCTATAAACCACTAGTCATCATTTGCTCCCCACTGAAAGGAGAAAAGGATATTTGTCTCAATTTAAACCAAGCCGGGTTTATATCTTTTCTCTGCACAAACACACATCAAATACCATAAGGACGTCAACATCTCCAATTATAATTTCCCACTGTGCTTTCACGGAAAACAGGCGAATTTACAGCTTAGGCCAAGAGGGGGAGCTCTAAATGGTTCGTGGCTACACCAGAGGAAGTAATACAGGTAGTGCTCTTGACTTACGACCACGGTCAGGACCGCGGAACGGTCGAAGCACGACTTGGTCGTAAGTTGAGTAGGCTCTGTGTACAGTTGAAATGGTGCACGCGGAGATGGTAGTGCTGCCAGAAGCTGGTCCGCACTGTCGTACGCCCAGCTGGGCAACGTTTGCGCTGCCAGACGCGGAGCAGTCGTGGCTAGCGATTGTGGTCGTAAAGTCAAATGGTCGTAAGTTGCATAGGTCGTAAGTCGATCAACACCTGTAAGTGGCAACCCTTTGGGAGGTAGAATCCAGTCTCATATTGGACGTTATTTGCCCTGGGACTCAAACATCAATTTAGATTCTAGATCAGATGTGACGGCTCACACCTGTGATTTCAACACTTTTGGAGGCCAAGGTGGGCAGATCCCTTGAGCCTATGAGTTTCAGACCAGCCTGGGCAGCACGGTGAAACCCCATCTCTACAAAAAATACAAAAATTAGCCAGGCATAGCTCTGTGTGTCTGTAATCCCAGCTACTCAAAAGGCTGAGGTGGGAGGATCACCTGAGACCAGAGAGGTCAAAGCTTCAGTGAGCCATGATCTCACCACTGCACTCCAGCCTGGGTGACAGAGTGAGACCCTATCTCAACAAAAAAGATTCTGACTCCAATTCTCTAACTATGGGAAATGAGAATTCTTTCATAGTTCCATTCATTGCCATGCTCTGTCTAAAATCATCTTTTCAAATAAAATGCGTGGATAACCTATGAGCTTTGAGATGGGTTTGGTTTTTGGCAGCCAAATGGTTTGCAGAATACCTGACTGCAGCATCCTGACACATTTTAAAGGCTACTCTCTGCGAGAGTCAGGGGCTGGAATTTAGGCTGCTGCCTTGTTTACTCCTTCACTGTCAGGCATTTTGACCTCACAACAGACTATTAGGGACTGGATTCCAAACTAGAAGCCATCAGAGAAACAGGCAGAATGTGCTAGCCACAGCTGTAACTTGCCTTTTTTTCTTTCTTTTTTGGAAACGGCCTGTAAAGAAGCCATCTGTCTACATTAAAGATTCTCTCTCGGCTGTGCCATTTCACATTCAATATTTCTTTATAATTATAACATTAAAACTGTACAATTTTTAAAGAAATTTCCACACGAGGAAACAGACATGGATTTAAACAGGACCGACAAGTCTGTTGCTGTGGGCTTTGCTGTTTTGTTTTGTTTCTGGTATGAGGATAAATATCAGCATCTGTTCATTTCCTACCATTCTTCAGGTAGAATATCTGAAGCTTGCCAGTTTTCTTCGTTTCGAAAATGAGTCCCAACCCACTCCTTAGAAATGGAATTGTAACCAAGTGACAAGCAGAGGGCCTTAAAGTAGAAGTCTGTGGGTCCACAGCATGAAAGAAACTCCCTGGGTAGACAGCTAATCATGAGCCACATTCACTCTGTCATTCAAGCAAATGAATGACAAAACCTTTATGGCCCAATAACAAACTGTGATGGCTACTCTCACCAGCTCCAGGATGCCTTAAAAATATATGAAGTGATTTTTTACATTAGCTTTTTATTTATAAGCCTATTAAGAAGGGACGTCCCTACTATTCAAATTGGCCTTCGGTGCAAAGTGCGTTGCTATCTGTCAGCCAATTTTTAAAGAGCACCAAAGATTTCTTCTTGCTTCTCCAAATAAACCTTTCTACCCACCCTTTGTACAGGCACCAATTTTTATCATAGACCTTAACTGGAGACCTGCCTGGGGAACATGATGAAGTCATTTTAGGTATCTTTGACAAGTAAGCTTTTGCTGCCTTGTAATTTTAAATGCTACTAACAATGGAAAATCTTTCTGTAATTCTTACTGGTTTGATAAGTGTCACTCATTTAGACAATAATGAATGCATATTCTATCATAATCTCTTGAGAGTAACAGTTGAAAAATCTGTCTTAACTTTTCAGTGGAGGCATAATATGGGAGGTAAAAAGACAAAATTTTTTTGATTTAAATTTTTTTCAAACCCTTATAGCTCCAGAGCAAAACCATAAGCAGTGCTGCCCTAGAGAATAAACTACCGCCTCAAATTCCATTTCAAGGTCAATCAGATTCATCATATAACATGTACCCAGGTATTTGCCAAATGTCAGGTAAAACCAAGTATTTTTATAGCACTTAATGTCTTTTTTTTTTTTTTTTTTTTTTGGAGACAGAGTCTTACTCTGTCACCCAGGCTGGAGTGCAGTGGTGCGATCTTGGCTCACTGCAACCTCCACCTCCTGGGTTCAAGCGATTCTCGTGCCTCAGCCTCCCTAGTGCTGGGATTACAGGTGTGAGCCACCATGCCCGGCTAATGCACTTAATGTCTTTAGGGATTTTCACACATACTGACCTATCTGTATGGCTCACAATATTTAAGCTTTCATCCATGTCCTCAATATTCATTATTAGAGTCCACTGTCTTTTTAATACTTAATAATGTCAATTAATATGTGGCACTTATCAAAATAGTAAGAATTACATAATTATTTTCCATCATCGATGGAAGTTTAAAACCACAAGACAGCAAAAGTTTACTTGTCAAAGATGCCTAAAGGGACTTCACCATGCTCCCCGATGTTTCTAGAGGAGGGTTCTGAAATCGAAACGGAAATGGAATATCAAGCACTTATGACTAAACCTGTGGTAACAATAACTTTCTTTCATGAATCAACACCAGCTTTGTGATTTTTAAGGTTATAATTTATTGCCATCATTCTGAAATATCAGTAGTCACCCCCTATAGTTGTACACGTATTCAGTGCAGGGGTTGAGGTTACAGAATGCTGATTAAGGATTGTGATTAACTGGCTGTGTATTAAATGCTGATTAACTGGCTGTGTTTTCTCTCAAATAAAGTTTATATAGAGGAAGGGGAGGAAGTAAATACAAAACAAAAGTCTTCCCTGCATCAAAGGTGCACTTTTTCCCAGAAATCCCATCAACCATAGCCTTCTGTGCCCTAGTGCACAAGAAACAGACCCAAGAAAGGTCAGCGGCCCCTCAGCTCTAGAAAGGAGCTAGTCCCCGCCAGTCAGGGGTACAGACCGGGGCTTTGGAAGGAGACAGACAGCTCTGAATTGGAATTTACTTTCTCCTGTTACTAAGCAAAATGTACCACAGATAGCACACAGTATGGTAACTAGCAGGCTTTCAATGACAGAATTCTGTAGCTACCTGGAAAAGTTGAAGAAATGAAGCGTGAAAAGGCCTAGGAATCTTCATCTTCTCCTGGCTCTTCTCCCTCTGCAGCTTCCTCCTCCTCCTCAGCTTCCCCTTCCACGCCCTCCGTGGCTATGTCCTCCGTCTTATTTTAACAAACATTACAATAATATTAAGAAGGGTCGGGGCCAAGGATACAGTGAGAAAAAGACTGCAAAATGCTGGACTAGAGGTCAGGACCTCTCACACCCCAACACACAACACACAAACATATATACCACACAAACACACTACACACAAATACACACACTAAACATACACAGCAAACACACATGACACACAAATACACACAACACAGAGATACACACAACACACAAGCACACACCACACACACATGCCACACAAATACATCACACATGCCACAAACACAAATACACACACCACACATGCCACACAAATGCCACCCACACCCACACACATCACACACATACTGCTCAAATACACACCACACACACTACAGAAACACACACATGACACACAGCATACACACCGCACTCACACCACCCAAACACAGACACACATCCAGAAACACACACCACATACACACCACACACAAATACCACACACCACACACATATTGCTCACACATACACCACACACACCACAGAAACACGACACACAGCACACACAACTCCACACACACCGCCACCAGAACACACACATCATACACAAACACACACCACACACATACACACCACACACCAAACACACATACACCACGCCACACACACCACATACCACACACATACACCACACCACACACATCACATACACTACAAATATACCACACACATACACCATACCGCACCACATATACACACACACCCTCCATACCACATATACACCATACCACACACATCATAGACACACACACACACACAAACCACACACCACATACACCATTCACAGATATATCACACATATACCACACCACACATATCTCACACACACACACACACACACACACACACACACACACACAATCATCCTAAATACAGACTCCTCAATTTGGAATGTTGCTTTAGAATGATACCTTAATTCTAAAGGTTTTATCATTCCTCCTCAGCATATAGTCTCCACTCATATTAACAAACTATTCTCATCAAATAAGGTTTACAGATTAAGAAGGTAATATATCCAGTTAGAAGAATCAAATACAAAAAGCATCTCAGCAAATCGAATTTTATCACAGTGAGCTGTTAAATGCACAAGTTGGTTATATTTTCTTGTAACAAGCTAATTTCTTCAAGCAAAAGCTATCAGCAGCCTATATATATAATCTGGAATCTCTTCCAAATTAACAATATATTTTTATCTTATTTTTAAAATTCTATTTTGAAGCTGGCCTAGCAATAGAGACATGAAAGAAATAATTATTGAAAATATATAAATAATTAGAAATCATGGTATAGAACATACTAGAAATAATCTTTAGGTCTAAGAAGAGGAGTTGGTTTGATATATTAACATTTAAAATAATAAAGCAGATCTATACTTACTACCTCCCCAAATACAGACACAGTCCATGAAATAAAGGAGATTACAAGAGCATTCATCAAAATTTGATTGTGTGTGTGTGTGTGTGTGTGTGTGTGTGTGTGTGTGTGTATAGCTAGAGTGGTTATCTCTGGGTAACCAGGGTTAAAAGCTATGTTCATTTTCCTCTTTTATCTGCATTTTTAAAATTTTCTATGAAGACCATGAATTTTGTAATTTCAGAAGTTAACAGAAGTTTATTTGGAGGGATTCCTTTTGCTATCTGGAACCACCTGTAATGCTGATGACCCTGTGCTGAAACATCCAGATGACACACGTGACTTAGTAAATTATTCTCACTACCCATGTGTTCACAATTTTACGTTAGTTCTCTAGCATTTAAAAGTGATTAATCCAGGTCCAGCGTGGTGGCTCGAGCCCATAATCCCAGCTCTTTGGGAGGCCAAGGCAGGTGGATCATCTGGGATCAGGACTTTGAGACCAGCCTGACCAACATGGTGAAACCCCATCTCTACTAAAAACATAAAAATTAGCCAGGCATGGTGGTTTATGCCTGTAATCACAGCAACTCAAGAGGCTGAGACAGGAAAATCGCTTGAACCCAGGAGGTGGAGGTTGCAGTGAGCTGAGATCACACCACTGCACTCCAGCCTGGGCAACAGAGTGAGACCCTATCTCAAAAAAATAAAAAATGAACAACAAAAAAACAAAGTAATCCAAAGATGTCCAAAAATATAAACACAGGTAGGAATCCCTCCCTCAATGAAAACACCACTAACTACCATGCAGGAGCAGGTATCTCCAGCCAGTGCCCTGGCCCGACCTGGCCTGACATCAGTGAGAAACCACCGGACACCTTCACCAGAGGGGGCTCAGAATAGGGTCCACAGCCAAGCCCTGTTTCTCTCTCCATCTCCCTCGGATGACCTTGTCTCCAACTGACTTCCCTTCTCAGCAGGCTAAAGGAGGATTTTCTGGATGTGTGGGTTGCATCCTCTCTTATGTTATTAAGAATACGCTGAAAGCCACAATCCTCCCACCTAAAAGATGTCTTTATTAAGCTGATTAGGCACAGCTGTTGAAGATGGTAGACCGTACCTCTTCTGTGGCTGTCTCTCCTTCTTCTTCCTTACGTCCATAAATCAAAATTAAAGAAAAAAACATAATTCAAGTAAATTTGAAGTTGAATCTGAAAATCAAGCAAACTAGAATAAAATATAAAGCTAATCAAAATGAACAACACATTAGTTTATCCCTAAAATATGTGAATAGCAAAGATATGATAGCGGGGTGATCCCTACTTATTTCATACATTATATTTCAAGCTCTTAAAATAATTGTGAGAGTAAAGACAGTTTCCCATCATTTGTACTCCTGAGAAAATGTAAGTAATTATTAATACTGCTTAGTAATACATTCAGTTCTATTTCAAAAGCATACCAAAGATTGATAGTGCTATCTAGCGAAATTCAGACCATATGCAAGCAATTCACAAATTTGAACAAAAATGTCTTTTCTGACTTTATGCCCTTATAACTATGTCTTTACTTCAGGCCTGAGCAAATTAATAAAAGTAGGTCAAAACTTTTTCTCTATGGGAACAAAATGGTAATATTTCTTAATCACATAGTAAATACTGATTTCTGGGTAAAGAAAGAAACTTGCAAGGTAAGAGTGGGTGGGGTCGCCCAAGGCTCAAATAGGTATCTGTTGTATAAGCCACCAACTCACTGGAATTTCTACTTCCTCCAGATCAAAGCAAGAGAAGCAAGTTCTATCTCCTAAACATGCCTCTAAGAGGAAAACAAAAGTTTTCCATCCCTTCCCAGAATGGTCCAATAAGCCTCCCTGGAGCCAGAGTGCCACAGTTTCTTTAATCAAACAGAGAGATGTGGTTCTTAAGAGCAGTCCCTAAAAATTCCCAATGCCTCACAACTCAGGCAGTGACCTCAGGGAATCATCGACAGGGGGCACTGAACGTGATCTTTCAGTCATATACATTCTCCACCCAGCACCATGTTTAGACAGATGAGGACACTCAGGCCACACAGGGAAGTCATTTGCCAAAGCCAAAGGTCACAGGACAAGGATTCAACACAATTAGGACTCACTGCAAGTCTACTGATTCCTAATTAAGTGTTTTTCTTACATTACCAGGCTGCCTCTCAAGATTAATAATGGAAAAATCAAAATCACAGATGGCAAAGTGCAACGACTCATGCCTGTAATCTCAGCACTTTGGAAGGCCAAGACGGGAAGATCACTTGAGACCAGGAGTTCAAGACCAGCCTGGGCAACATAGCAAGACACCCTCCCCCATCTCTACAAAACATGTTAAAAATTAGCCAGGTATCTGTAGGCAGATGCAGGAGGATCACTTGAGCCCAGGAGTTTGAGGCTGCAGTGAGCTCTGACTGTGCCACTGCACTCCAGCCTGGGTGACAGAGTAAGACCCTGTCTATAAAATAAAATTTTAAAAATCACAGAAGGCAAGTTATAGATAATCCAACACACTGCCACATCTCCTGGCCCAACATCATGTTTTTAGCTATTTCCAGAACACCACCTTCATATTTCTGAGACGGGAACTGAACTTGAAAGCTTGACAGTGCTGGCCAGGTCTGAAGCAGGCCAAGAGGATTTTTTCAGCACTAGGAATCTTCAAACTAATCTCTACGTTAACCACCACTGGTGACACCCCAAGTTTTGGCACTCAAATAATGTGCAGAAAAGTGACACTTGTTGCAAAATCCAGGTGTTGCTTTCACAGTGACGTGTTGATCGTGCCTCTTTAATCCTGCCTAATCCTGCCCATGTCCCGCCCCTCCTCTGCCATGACTGCCATCTTTGCTCCCTGGGTTGCTCAAGGAAGCTCGTAAGGAGTGATTATCACCTCTTCTTGTCTTTCTCATCTGCAATCTGTGCTCCAGACTGCAGCCAGAGAGATCATTCCAGAAAGCAACCAACCTGACTGTGCTACCCTCATCTTCAGAAACTTCCGTCTCCTCAGGACACCCTACCCTCCTGACGGGGTGTGGCTGTGTCGCCACCCAAATCTCACCTTGCATTACAATAATCCCATGTGTCAAGGGTAGGGCCAGGTGGAGATAATGGAATCATGGCGGGGGTGGGGGGGGGGGTGGGGGGGGAAGGTTCCCCCATGCTGTTCTGTGGTGGTGAATAAGATCTGATTGTTCTGTAAACGTGAGTTCCCCTACACAAGCCTTCTTGCTTGCCACCATGTAAGACATGCTTTTGCTTCTCCTTTGCCTTCTGCCATGATTGTGAGGCCTCCCCAGCCACGTGGAACTGTGAGTCTATTAAACCTCTTTCCTTTATAAATTATCCATTCTCAGGTATGTCTTCATTAGCAGTGTGAGAAGAAACTAACGCGCCTCCTTAAAAGAGTGAAAAAGCCGTCAGGCTCTACAAACCCCTCTGGCCTCATCCCGCATCACTCTACTTCAGCCATCCTGAGTCACATGCAATTTTCTCACATTGCCCACACCTTCCAGGATGTGCTCAAAACATTTCCAAGGAGACTTTCCTAACCCACAAGGCTGAGTTAAGGACCTTCTCATTTGCTCCCATAATCATAAATTTACTTATCTGTCTCCCTCACTAGTCTGTGTGTTTAGGGGTATAACCTGTGTCTTATTCATTTTTGGATCTCTGGGAAATGTCTGGCCACTCCAGGCCACTGTCTGGAACCAGCAAACAAGCTCAATAAATATGTGTTCATGATTGGATAGAGGAACACTTGAAATCTGTTAGTAACTCTTTGGATCTCAAAGAACATTAATTTTCTTCTTCTTCACAAAGGATCAGATTAAAATTCATTATATGTAGCATAGAATTATTGATTATGTAGAGTTTTACATTCTTCTGAATCCAATTATTTTTATTAACTATATATTCAGCTGAAACAAATGAATTAACCACATACACACTATTAAAAATAAGGTCAACCGTAGAGCTAGCCTGGGGGGGCAGTAGGAAGTCTTATAGGAATATAAGTTTCAACTTTCATAGTTAGCTAGCAAAACTACAGAGGAACCTAGAATTCTTTTTTTTTTTTTTTTTTTTTTTTTTTGAGATGAAGTTTTGCTCTTGTTGCCCAGACTAGAGTGCAATGGCGCAATCTCAGCTCACTGCAACTTCCGCCTCTTGGGTTCAAGCAATTCTCCTGCCTCAGCCTCTCGAGTACCTGGGATTATAGGTGCCCACCACCACACCCGGCTAATTTTTTGTATTTTCAGTAGAGATGGGGTTCCACCACGCTGGCCAGGCTGGTCTCAAACTCCTGACCTTCAGGGATTCACCCACTTCAGCCTACCAAAGTGCTGGGATTTACAGGTGTGAGACACTACGCCCAGCCCCTAGCACTCTTTATCAACCTTTTAATTGACCTTAATTTCTTGAAAGCTATGTTAAGCAGGGAAAGTGATTGCTCAGAGAATGCATAAAAATACTTAGCCTCTAAAGGACAAGTAAGCTTGGAAGAACTTTGGATATTACCATCACAAGCTCTCCCGGAACATAAGCTCTGTGGGAGCAGTGACTGTCATTTTCCTTGCTCCCTCCGCAGTTTATGGAATCCTGCCTGGCACATGGCAGCACTCAATCTGTCCATAAAATGTTGAATGAATGCATTTATGTAACGCTACTCCAGCTCAGCTTCAAATCCCCCTCAGAATGAGGTGGGATATATTTGTTTCAAAAATAATGGCTGGGTGTGGTGGCACATGCCTGTAAACCCAACAGTTTGGGAGGCTGAGGAGGAAGGATCACTTGAGGCCAGAAGTGTAAGACCAGCCTGGTCAACACAGCAAGACCCCATCTCTATAAAAAATATAAAAATTAGGTGGGTGTGGTGGCCTGCATTTATGTCCCAGCTACTCAAGAGGCTGATGTGGAAGGATAACTCAAGCCCACTGTGATTGTGCCACTGCATTCCAGCCTGGGTGACAGAATGAGACTCTGTCTTAAAAAAAAAATAAAAGGCTAGGTACAGTGGCTCAAACTTGTAATCCCAGCACTTTGGTAGGCTGAGGCGGGTGGATCATGAAGTCAGGAGTTCGAGACCAGCCTGGCCAAAACAGTGAAACCCTGTCTCTACTAAAAATATAAAAATTAGCTGGGCGTGGTGGTGGGTGCCTGTAATCCTAGCTGCTCAGGATACTGAGGCAGAAGAATCGGTTGAACCCAGGAGGTGGAGGTTGCAGTGAGCCAAGATCATGCCACTGCATTCCAGTCTGGGCAACAGAGCAAGACTCTTGTCTTGGAAAAATAAATAAATAAATAAATAAACCAAAATAAATAAATAAAAATAATTTAACTTCCAACCTTGGTTCATAGAATTATAAAGTATTGGAATTAGGCAGATCTTTAAGGTCATCTATGTAAAATGCTTGAATTGACTTTCATGATTGGCAAGTAATTATATTCACAAAGCATTTTTTTAAGATAATTATAATCACCCGGTCAATTAAGCCAAGATCTCACATAATTATCATTTGAGGAAGCATACACCTTAAAGTAATTTCACCTTGTTTTTCAGAGAAAGCCAGAAGAAAGAAACCTCAGAAGTGGGAAGTCTTAGAACCTTCCACAGCAGCTATTTTTGTTGGAAACTTGGCCAGAAAAGCAGACCGCAGAGGTGGTACGTGGCCAGAACTAAGAACAGGTGTCAGTGGTGTTGCGTGCCAGGCAGCGTTCAGTGGGGACAGGTGGCAGGCGTGGGGGATAGCAAAGGGCTGGCCCAGAGTGACCTGCGAGGGCAGCCAGCCTCAGAGCGGCTGGAGAACAGAGGGCAGAGGCAGAGTCCTCTTGAGCTTCAGGCACTGCAGAGACCCAGCCCGAGAGACCTGTGACTCCTCCCACAAACCTACACCAATGTTTGCCCCTTGAAACTTTTCTCAAAGCTGCTATTGGAGGAAGCCAAGAAGGGTGATTACAGTCCATAATCATGTTGTCTGCCATGCAAGGGCCCTATGACTTTCAGACAGGGTTGACAAAACATACAATTTTAAATAATTGTATATCAAAAAAAAAAAAAACCAAACCTTCACAAGGTGCCAACATTTCCAGTATTTTCTAAAGTTCTCATGATGTCCCAGCCTGCAATTTGTTTCTTAGAGATTGCCCAGAAGCTGAACTGACTTTCTGTTTTTCTCCTTTACTCCTGAGGCAAAGGTTCCTTTGCTCCTCACCCCTCCCCTGGGTCATCAGGCCAGCAGGCTCCATAAGTTCCCCTATTTCCTAAAGTTACAGGTAAGATCTTCCTAGGGATGAAGGAATGGTCTTTCCATAGGAAGTGGAGTGTTCATTTCCTGACCTCCCAAGTCCTCCTGCCTCAATCCATTATCAAGGAGAGAACTGGCATCTTGGCATCTTGTGTTTAAGAACCCTGAAGGCTGGGGAGGTGGTCATATCATTAAAGAAGATAACAGTTTTTGTTTCCATTTCTGTTGGTTGTTTTAATCAATGTCAAACATTAGGTAAATATTCCTTTCCAATAAACAAAATTGTAGGAGTGCCTACAAGTGTGTCTTGAGTGTGCATGTTTAATCGCAGAGATCAGATGAGCATGCCCCTGACTTAGGCACTTACCTGGTTTATCAATCAACATTGCCAGGTGCTGGAGAAAAGTTTTTTGCTTGTTTTATGTTCTTACTGCACACATTACAATTGTTTTTAACACACAAATGAAGGCAGGTTTTTTAAAAAGGTAGAAACTTGGTCTGGTTTGTCATCTAGTTACAGAAATGCACCAATGAGTCGCATTCCTGGTTTCATTATTGTACTAAGGCCAGATGAGATGTCAACCCTTGTGGAAACTGGGTGAAGGGCACACAAGACTCTATTATTTTTTAAACTTCCTGTGAGTCTATAGTTATTTCAGAATAAAATGTTTAAAACTGTTTTTATTCCTTCCCATAAGCATGGCTGAAAGCCAGGATATGAATTGTGACTTGTTCTTTGTGCTACACCAAGCTGGGTGACTCATCACTTCATAGAACTAACACACCCCAGTGCCTGAGAAGCTGAAGCAAAGCCCACCCTGGCTACAGGAGGCAGGATCTGATTATAAAAATGCTACCTTCCTTCTGGTCTCATGGGAGAAAGGGGCTAGGTGTAATGCTTTTCATCTTTGTCTCTATGTCTTAAAAGAAGCAAACAACATCAAAGTATTAATCAACATGACTGTAAGGGTACATTAGCCAACTCATGCAAAGTTCAAATTGTGAAACAGATATTTTTTAATTAAAAGATAATGAAATTGTCACTATATTTAGTTTTAAAATTATTATGTAGGCTGCTGTGAAACACCATCCAACTTCTAGGTTAAGACTGAAGATTTGTCTTTCTTTAAAACAAAAACTTCAGAATTGTAGTATCAACATTTTGAAATAGCAGTCTAATTCAAATATAAGTCTATTATATATCAGGGAATTTCCTGCCCTAGCCCCTCCTAATTTAAATTCTTTAAGGTAAAGACTAATCAATGCCCAGCCCCACACCCCTTTTCCCATAGTGTGGATGGGGGTCTTAGCCCTTTTCTAGCTACATTGTATCTGCCAAATGAGGGTCCAACTCACATAAAAGCTCTCACACCTCTCCTGGAATAAATAAATTAGCAAACCATCAGAGTTTAAAAAACAGCCTTTGCTACAACTGATCCAATGGAGAAGCCCTCTGAGATTCTCCTCCAAGGAGGCCCAGACCCATGCTTGCACCCTATTCCCAGCCCCACCAGGCTCCTTCCTTGGCACCTGGCTTCCCAGCACATTTTCAGAACTCCTTGAATAAGTGGCCCATCCCAACCCCCATCATCTCAGCTTGGCATTCACAGAACCACAGTCTCCCCAACATTGCCCACTCCTTATCCGCTGCTTCTACAGGGGAACCCCTTTAGAATTAATAGTGTGACTTCATCAGGATCTGCTATTTCCCTAACTGAACTTACATTAACTGAGTGTCAGTTTCCCTCCCCAAGGAGTTCCTGTTATCTTCAAGTTCCTGTTGTCTTCCCCCAGATATACTGCACCCCCTTAGCTATGTTTCCCCACTGGGCAGGGCTCCTGGGTGGGTGTAAGCTAGGAGTCTGTCGTTAATCATGACCAAGCAGAAAGGTCCCTTGTTTATAAAGGGCATGCACCTAATCTAGCCATAACAACACCACAGCAAATTCTCCAAGCCTTGACTAGCCGGCTCCCTCCAGGCCCAGGTTCAGGCTCCTTCCTTTGTCTTCCCTTTAGACCTCTCTGCACAGGGACCCCAGTGCTTATCAGTGGAAACTACCTGCTTCCTCCCTGGCTGAACTCTCAGCTCCTCACTCTTTCTCATTGCTTGTGTCCAGAGTCAAGTTGTACAAGCCCTGCAAAAGTCTCTATTGAACAGCAGTGAGTCCAGTCAAACTGCTGTGAAAAAGTGAACACTCACATTCTTCTCCTGGGCTTCAGAGAGATTGCCTGCATCTTCATTGCCCTCTTTCTGTGCCTCAGTTTCTTCACCTTCTTCAGCCTTCTCTGATCCCTGGTCACAAAGGAAACCCAGGATATGAGCTCCCCTCAGAAAAACAAAAAATAGGCCACACCTGCTGTGGCTTTCTTATTTAGACATATGGTATGTAAATGAAGCAAACACAGACTGCCCATTCATTAGGTCACTTAGCAACTAGAGCATAGGATCTCTAAATCACAAAATGTTGACTGGGATAAATCAAAGATCCAACCTATGTGCACTGCAGGGCAACAAACTGTCTAAGTGAGGAGTTTCAATTCACCCACTTCAGGCTGATAAGGAGAAATTCAAAGAATTCTTTCTTTACACAGTGTTTTCTATCACTTGTATGGAGGGGGTCTTTTAATTTTAGAGATTAAAAATTAAGAAGATATATAAGGTAGACAGATAAAGTAGACAGGTAAACATACATAGATGGATGCTTGGATGGATGGATGGATGGATGGACTGATGGACAGACGGACGGATGGACGGATGGATGGATGGATAATGTAGAGAGATATGTAAACAAATAGATGGATGGAAGGACGAATGGGTCGATGAATGGACAGATGGATAGGCAGGTAGGCAGACGGATGGATGGATGGATGGATGGATGGATGGATGGATGGATGGATGGATGCATGGATAGATGGATGGATGGATAGATGTATAGATGATGATGATATGGTTAGGCTTTGTGTCCCCACTCAAATCTCATCTTTAATTATAATTCCTATAATCACCGTAATCCCCACAAGTCAAGAGAGACCAGTGGAGGTAACCAAATCATGGGGCAGTTTCCCCCATGCTGTTCTTGTGATAGTGAGTGAGTTCTGATGAGATCTGATGGTTTTATAAGAGGTTCTTCCCTCTTCATTTGGCATTTCTCCTTCCTGCTCCCTTGTGAAGAAGGTTCCTTGCTTCCCCCTCACCTTCCGCCGTGATTGTAAGTTTCCTGAGGCTTCCCCAGTCATGCTGAACTGTGAGTCAACTAAATCTCTTTCCTTCATAAATTACCCAGTCTTGGGCAGTTCTTTATAGCAGTATGAAAGTAGACTAATACAGATGGATAGATACAGATGATAGATGGATAGATAATAGACAGATGATAGATGGATGGGTAGATGGGGGGAGAGAGAGGAGGGGAGGGAGGGAGGGAGAGAGAGAGAGAGAGAGAGAGAGAGAGAGACAGAGAGAGAGACAGAGAGACAGAGAGAGAGAGAGAGAGAGAGAGAGAAAGATTAGGACCAGGCAGACATTCTTGAGAAAATAGACAGTCTTGAGGAAACTGACATAGGGATTATGGCTCAAGATACCAGTGCTTACCTCTGCAGTGCTGGGTGCCTCTCCCACTACATCACCATTGGGAAGGGATGATGTTTCCTCGGGTGATTTTGTCACCTGCATTATGTAAAGTGAGAGTGTTTGAGAATTTTCTTGAGGACAATAGCTTGCATTTCAATGTCTTAACTATTCAAACTATATTTGTCTTCATCTTTCATTTTATCTTCACTAAGTAGGGAGGGCAGTCATTACCACCCACACTTCAGAGACAGGAAAATAAAGGCAGAAAATGTCACATTGTGAGTTAGGGGAAGAACTAGGTCTATACCTCCTCCCTGATGCTCTCTTAATTTACAAAATGGGTCCCAGCCTTTTAAAATATCAGGATATTTTTTATTACAGAGGCACTGCAAGCTTGTGGGAGCAAATTAAGCCATATACACACCCTCCAATCCCACTCCTGTGATAATCAGTATCAAAAATGTGATAGGGTAACTCTTTATCCTAATACATAAAGGTTATTTTAGGGTAGAATTGGTTGCCATTTTTCTTTTGTTTTTGTGGTTTTGAAACAGAAATAGGAACACAGTACGCACCACTTCATTTCTAGCCCAATGTACCATGGACATTTGTCCAGGTTAATTGAATCATTCTTTTTAACATCTGCTTCATATTAAATATATAATAATTTACTCAAGCATTCCCCAGTCAATGCGTGTTCTGAATGTTTGTATTAGTTGTATTAGTTCCAAGGCCAATATACTACTACTTTTATCACTGTATATTATAGGGTAGCTTATAGGATATATTTTAATATCTAGAAAGTCAAGTTGTTGCTCATCTTGTAGTTTTTGTTTGTTTGTGTGAGGGTTTTGGGTTGGAGGGAACAGAGAGCAAGTTTATTGGTGAATGCTCATGGCAAACATCATCCAAGAGAGACAAGATGGGGAGGATGCTGTGACCAGAGAGCCTTCGGGGGTAGATACACAGTCCCACACAAGGCAAGGGATAGGGCTTGGGGGATGCTGGGAATGTGCCCAGTCACTCATCGCCACACAAATGAGCTCTTCAGAGTTGACAACCATTGCTGTCCTCACGTCTGGCCGCCAGCATCCTTCCTCTGTCATCTTCCCACCCAGTGTGACAAGGACTTGCCAGATTTCTATGCCCATCATGGCACCATTCTCTTCCTTTTCAAACACCCAAAGTCCTTCCACATAATCCTTGAACTCAGACATAATCCTAAGACTAGGCACCCTAGTCCTAATTCCTGGCCACAGTCTGCAGCATGGGCAGGAAATGTTCAAAGTCCAGTACCTTCACATTCATCTCTTCACTCTTGAGATTCCCCAGGACCTGGAGCACATCTGGCCCAGGGCCCTGGTCATGTCCCCACACTGGCTGTGAGGACCTTACCATCACCCATTCAGTCAAATGGCTGGAAGTTCTCCTTGAACTCTGCGGTCTGATTCTCAGTGAAGTTACATGTCAGACTGCTCAGCTCTGCTCAACTACAGGCCAGAATGTGTCACCTTCCACGAAGAATGACTGCTCAGAGGCCTATCGTGAAGGATTACATGCTAGAAACTTTAGGGTACAGGTTTCTGATGGTATTGCTAAAAGAACTGAGACCATACCAGCAGGCTTAGTCAAAACTTCAAGAACTTTAGTTAAGAAGCAGATGGGGCCGGGCGCGGTGGCTCAAGTCTGTAATCCCAGCACTTTGGGAGGCCGAGGCGGGTGGATCACGAGGTCAAGAGATCGAGACCATCCAGGTCAACATGGTGAAACCCCGTCTCTACTAAAAATACAAAAAAATTAGCTGAGCGTGGTGGCACATGCCTGTAATCCCAGCTACTCAGGAGGCTGAGGCAGGAGAATTGCCTGAACCCAGGAGGCGGAGGTTGCGGTGAGCCGAGATCGCGCCATTGCACTCCAGCCTGGGTAACAAGAGCGAAACTCCGTCTCAAAAAAAAAAAAAAAAAAAAAAAAAAAAAGAAGCAGATGGGTTCATGAGACAACTAACCCAAGATCAAGTGGAACTGGAATTAATTAAATAAGACTAAGTGAATTGGTGAGGGGTGATACCCTTTCCTGCAGTAATGACCCATCTGGTAGTTTCAAATTAGAAAATTCCAGAACATCTCTTGAATGAATTTTGTGCTCCAAATTCCTATCTTCTACGCTTCTCAACAAATGTTCCTCCCAATCTCCTTCTGCTTCTTCCTTTTGTGTTCCTTCAAGTGATCTGTCATCTGTCCAGTTTGATCTTCCTCCTTAAAGTCACTGGGAAATGCTACACTTACTTAAATATTTTGCCATTATTCAAAATTGCTTTCAATAGAAACTCACTAATGATACCAGAAAATGAGTATCAAAACTTTTCATCACAAGTCACTTTTGGCCAAAAATTACATTATCCAGATATATTATCCCTGCCTTATTCATTAGACTGAAATGTAGTTCCTCAAGAAAATCCATCTTCCAATAGATGTTTCCATGACTCGAACAGAGGGATGTGAAACCTCTTTTGAGCAACATGGGTCTGGCTGTTGCAATGTTAAGACTTTCCCAGCGTGGTTCTCATGAGGACAGCCCTCACTAGGATGTATAAACTTTGGCACTAAGGAGTTACATGCCAACAGCAACCTGTAAAGGTGACACTTTAACACTGCTATCACAGACAGTTGTGATGGCTCACACCTATAATCCCAGCACTTTGGGAGGTTCAGGTGGGAGGATCGCTTGAGCCAAGGAGTTCAAGTCCAGTGTGGGCAACATGGTGAAACTCTGTCTTTACAAAAAACACAAAAATTAGCCAGGTGTGGTGGTGCATATCTGCGGTCCCAGTTACTGGGGAAGCTGTGGTGGGGGGATCACTTGAGCCCAGGAGGTCATGAGTCATGATGAGGTTACTGCACTCCAGCCTGGGAGACAGAGCAAGACCCTCAAAAAACAGAAAACAAACAAACAAAAAAACTATTGTAATGGCTATGTATATCTCTGTCAATTAAAGGGAAATCTAATTGCCCATATAACTGGATGTCTTTCATTGGTATATTAATAATATCTCCCTGACTAAAATAATGTACTAAAAGATATTGATTGCTGGACATGATGGTTCACACCTGTAATCCTAGCACTTTGGGAGGCCGAGGTGGGCAGATCATCTGAGGTCAGGAGTTCAAGACCAGCCTGGCCAACATGTCAAAATCCTGTCTCTACTAAAAAAATTAAAAATTAGCTGGGCATGGTGGCGCACATCTGTAATCCCAGCTACTGGGGAGGCTGAGGCAGGAGAAACGCTTGAACCTCGGAGATGGAAGTTGCTGTGAGCCGAGATTATGCCACTGCATTCCAGTCTGGGTGACAGAGCAAGACTCCATCCCGAAAATAAAAAATAAATAAAATAAAAATTAAATTAAATAAAAAGCATTGATTATGTTGCGTTTTGCCTGGTATCAGACAACAATGGCTTAGGTTATTAACCATACCTTTAGTTAATCCTTCTTTAATCTGAAGCTAGCATGTTTTAGAACCGTGTTTTTCAATTGGGAATTTCCCTCACCTACTCGCACAGTTATATTAATAAATAGATGTTTAGGACCTACTCCAGACCTACTAAATCTTGTTTCTTGATATTCTTATCACATGCTTGGTATATTCAGAGTATATTGTGTCTCTGAATAATTACATCAAGACTTTTGCTGTGCCTATTTATTGTTGTAAATTAGATATAATGTTGTCTGTATTCTTTGAAATGGGCCTAATGATTACATTTATAAATAATTTGTCTAAACTTCTGGGGGATTGATTTTATAGTTTTGTTTTGCATGTCACAGAAAACAACAAATTTTCTCACCGAATATATTATTCTTGTTATGACTTCCTAGTCTTTCACTTTTGAAAATTATAAGGAACAAATAAAAGACACCCATTTTAAGTCTGTTGTCATTTACAGATATTTTTGTTAGCATGTTTTGCTTTGATGCTTCCCTGAAAGCTTTCTGTAATGAGCTATAGGCAAGAATGCTTCATCTTCTATGAAGGAGGGCTGCTCAGAGCCCCTCAATAAAGGGTTGTAATTTTTTTTGGGTTCACGTTTCTGATGGCATCGCTTTAAAAACTTTGAGTCCATATCCATGGACTTAGTCAAAATTTCCAGAACTTTTGTTGAGAAGCAGACAATTTCATGAGATGACTAACCCAAGATCCAGTGGAATAGGAATGAATTACATAGGATTAAATGGTTTGGTGAGGGATGATAGTCGTTTTTGTTTAAGTACTGTTGATGTTATTTTTATTTTTATTTTTTTATTTTTTAGGCACTACCTACCTGCCTATGATGTTATTTTAACGTCTTATTTTCCTTATATATAAGGAAGCCTTTTTTCCTTTCTCTTAAGCTTTTCATACATTATAATAATGTTGTAAACTCTGCTTTTGTAAACTGAAATGAATTACTTGTAAATGACCTCTAATTCTCCCTGCCTGATCCCTCTGGAGTTCAAAAATTCTTACTGAATCTGCTTATTGAATTAGAACGTATATATACGTTTTGGCGATATAGTTATTTGCGTAACTTCAATAAGAATCTGCCATCCTTCTTGCCAGGGCATAATTGAAAACATTAGTTATGTAACCCAGGTCCGGTCTGCCATGTCCTATTAAGAATGATATTCATTTAATCAGATATGACCGGATGCTTTTAAAGAACTTAGCTTGGCTTTATGGAACCAATGCTTACTTACAAAGCCCTCTTGGGAAAACCGGCCTGGTCTTTGGCCTAGTACAGCCTGCCCAAGACAAGAAAAATGTTCTAAAAGCAATGATGTTGCATATGATTATTCGTTTGTTTTATGAGCATAAAACAAACATAATTGTCAAGAGTACTTATTTTTAGCTTGAGTGAGATTAATTTTCCTTGCTGACACCTCTCCACAATCTTGTTTACTACAACATGACACTGAGATAAGTAATGTTTCCATAAATCAAATGTCTGTCTTTTCAAAGGATACTGGAAGTACTTTGCCCCTGTGCACAGTATGAACACCTACAAACCCAAGCAATGCTGACAGCACAAAGGCTCCAGCACAAACTGTGCTGCTAATTGGCGG